GAGTTTAAGAGAGTCTTGCAGTTGCAGGACTTTTAGTTTGGTTTAGAAAAAAGACTAGTAGACATTGTTTTTTGATCGAGTAGATGACTTGTATTCCACGTCACATACTGGTTTCATATTGTGGCTAGTTTTTGCTTGTATTGAAGTCCATCTCTCACAAATTTTTAGAAATAAAATCAAAATAATAATCTTTTTATTGAACTGTTTTCAATTACAACAGAATATACAAATACAAAAGATCCAATATTTGTATCCTTCTTTCTTTTGTGAAATTCTATACACAATGTTTCCATTTTCCTATCCTTTTGGTAAAATGTTTACCACCCTATAGTACTCCAACAAAACAGACACCTTGCAAAGAAGAATCAGAGATCTCTGGAAAATTACCCTTTTAGACCTGGTAAGCTCATCAAGCAACCATCTCAAGAATCTTGATGTTGCCATTGGAGTTAGCAGCGACTAACGTAGACGACTGTCCTCGCCAGCAGATCGATGATATGAACTGTGAAGTATCGTCCACTTCGAGACCAGACACAGAGTCAGTGTTGCTGAACATGTACGACATAACCGGCATTGGGAATGCCTTATGGTACACGAAGACCTGTCATGAAGCCACAACAAGAAGAAAGAATCTCAGATAATCAAGTTTTTAAGTGACAGTGTCTTTCAAAAGATTCTGTTTTCTATCAATCCTTTACCTCGTTAGTCTCTGAGCCTGTAGCTATATACCCATCAGAGACCGATAATCCAACAAAGTTCTGCAACACATCACAAGACCATAACATTTCAGAATATGTTCTAAAAAACCAGAGATTTGAAGAAGAAAGCAAATTTCTGGATCAAAAATTACCTTTAAATTAGTGTGTCCAGCGAATGAGTGAAGAGGGGTTTCGTTAACCCCAGAAGCAGACATCGATAAGTCCCAAAGCTTCAGCGTGTTATCAGTAGAAGAGGACACAAGAGTGGATGAATCTACAAACTTGACATAACTCACTGTCTTGCTATGACCAATCATTGTGGAAAGAGGAATCTTGGGGTTTCGAAGATCGTAGTAATACACTTTGTGGTCTGCAGAGCCAAATGCTAGAGACCGTCCTGAGTCTGATGGAAACTGGACACAACATACATTGGCCTTTGTCTTGATGGTTCCAATGCTAACTCCCTGAAAACATATCAAAGACAACTCTTAAATCATACATCCTGAGAATGAAGATGTCTGCATTTTGGAGAAGAAATTAGTTTCGGATTTCAATAGCCGACATTTCAAATTAAAATTGCCTGATTGATATTCCATAGCTTAACGGTTCCATCATCGCTTCCACTAGCCAGTAAAGTCGGGTCTGCTGATGGAATATCGATGGACCATACTCGCTTCTTGTGCTCCTTCATCTCTGTAACCAACTGGCTTCTTGCAACATCCCATATCTTAAGAAAAACACACAAATGTATCTCAAACTGATTTCATGAAACTGGAACTTCTTAGCAACGATTGAGCGGAATCTAAAACTAACCTGAACAATGCCTTCAAAGTTACTTGATGCAACTTGACTCTTTATGTAGCTGTTCCAACATAGACTACTAAGCTTTGACCGGCTAGCTAATTCCACAACCGGATAGTGAATGTCCCGGTTATTGTTTACAATGGAATTACATTCGAATATCTTGATTTTCTTGTTGACACCCGCAGTGGCGAAAAACTCTCCATCTCGGTCAAAAGCAAGGGCGCAAACGAGGTTAGAAGAGTTCAACAAATCTCCTTGTTTCAAATCTGCTTTCACTCTTAGCTTACTGAATGACAAGTATCTGCACAAACCCTCAAGGAATGGATCTATCCACCCGCCTTGTCTCATATCATTATTGTAGAAATCTTTGGATGCTGCAGGGTTATTCACTGAGCTTTTCTCTGAGACAATCATTGAACCTCTTCCATTTTCACTACTTAAAGGCGAATGCCTAGTTAATGACTTCCCCAAAGCAGCAGCTTTCATTTGCCTGCGCCTTGTCAGAAAGTAGACAGTTTCTAGTTTCTTGAAATTTCTCATCAACCTGGAGCTTTCAAGAAGTGTGCTTCCTTGACTCTCTTCATCAACTTCAGCATCGGTTTCCACTGGCGGAATCACTTGTCTAAACCGTTTTCTTGAGGCCAACAATGTAGAAGGCTCTTCGTTTTCCGGGAAGCTCCTCATCGGCTGCTGACCAGAGCCAGTTGGATGATCATCTTTACTGAAATCAGAGGATGAGCTTCCCTTTTTCTTCAAAATCAGTTGTCTCTTTGCAACTTGCTCAATGTCGGAAGAAAGAAGCGAAACCGTATCCTGCAATCTATATGCAGATTCCTGTTTCCTCTGTTGAATCAGTAACAAGAACTCGAGTAATGACTCATGTTCCTCGATTCTATCCCTAAGCTCTATTGCTGCTTGACGTTCTTCCAAATTATCTCGTGGTTCGGTTATAAACTCACTTTGCAGTAAGTCACTGCACCATAAATACAGCTTCTCAATTACTTCCATTCAGTAAAACATAACAGAGACTAACAACAATTGCACAAACTACGAACATGAATTCAGAGACAATTATGTAAACCTCATTGATGGTCGACAACTTGGCTCAGGATGCAGTAACCACAAGCAGAAAGAAGCTTCTTTGGGACATTTGAGCAATATTTGAGGCGGAAGAACGCGATGTCTTAAACTAGACATAGTTCTTGTCTTGTCTTCTCTAGAAGGCACAGGACAGAATAGCTGCAAAGGGACTAACTTTCATCTAATCACCTTTCGAAGAATATAAAAACACCAAAGACAAAAAGAAACAAACAGAGACTTTGAATCCAAAAGCAGCTCATACTTCGTTAGAAACAATATTGATTTCTTTATCACAAACCTCGAAAAGAAGAACGCCAAGACGGTAAACATCTGAAGCACAAGTACTTGGAGAACCAAAATCCTCTTCAGGGCTTGTATACCAACTTGTCTCCATAGCTAATACATGTTTCATCGGAAAAGGTTGATTCTTTTCTTCCTCCAGCTTCTCGATTCGTCTCTCCAACAACGTATTATAGGATCCTTTCTCTTCTATCGAAATACCTTTCGTTACAGAATCCTCTCTTCTCGTGGCACCAGTTTCCTTCTGGCTAACTGGACCATCCTCCAAGGAATCAGAGCCAGAGTCGGAACAAGAAGCGGATTCGATGAACGAAACATGGTTAAACGAAGACATAACAAAACAAGATGGCCTGACATTATGAACAACAATGCCTTGAGAGTGAGCCGCATTGACAATCTCGACGATTTGTCTGAAAACGTGCAAACACTCGAAAACATCAACAGATCGTTCAGGTTTATCAATCCACTGTCTCAAGCTAACATCACCCCATTCCAAGGATCTAACAAAAGGGTCAATCCCTAAAGAATCATCTTCAGAGGATTTGTGTGTATTACTACCAAACAAGCTTCTGACATACACATCGACATGAGAGGAAGGCTTGATTCTTCTCTCAACAGGTAAGAACTCAGTGTTCCTGTCTGAAACACCAGAGGTATTATTATTAAACCCTCTAGAGTTGGAGTTTGAAGAACCTTCCATTTATCATCCACCAAAAGCTAATAAAAGAACAAGTAAAAGATGACTAACCGAAACCATTTCTGAATCAACAGCTCATAGCTTAAGATCGTTGATCACAAAAACTCTCAGAATGTAAAGTGATCCCACCCAAAAATAAAATAAAAAGCCCTAAGCTAGAGAGTGAGGAGAGCCCAGTAAGAGAAAAACACCCAAAATGAAGAAAAAATGTAATCTTTTTGATCATATAAAGGAGACAAGAAAAGAAAGGAAGCTTCTTTATTACCGCAAAGCTTAAGTGAGAAGGAAGGAGAAGATAAGAAGTATCTGAGAGACCACCCACAAATGATCTTTTCGATATTGAAACAGAACCACACAACAACAGCAACAAACACAGTACTTTCTCCTCTTTTAACTCAAACAAAGAACAAAAAAAAAGCAGAAGCAGC